GATGGATAGATAGATGGATGGATGGATACATAGATAGATAGATAGATAGATAGATAGATAGATAGATAGATAGATAGATAGATAGATAGATAGATACATGGATAGATTCACACAGTGCACCTAATGACCCCTGGTGGTTCAGTTGGGAATCGTCGGATTTAAAGCTCTGCAATATCAGCAAACAGCAGCAATCAATGCACTAGGTGCGGCAGCAAGCAGGGGCCAAAACACTGCTTCGGAGTGATATTGATATTAATGTAGATTTCGTATTTTTGGTAAGTTCTCTCCGACTTATACGCAATTAAATGTAATTTAATAGAGATTGTAATAGTTATTTTGTATGTCTACAATATCTGGAGCGTGGCGCTAACATTTGCGAAGGCTGACAAGGTAAAGTAAACATATTTACGACGACACTACTTCACAGCCTGACAACATTTAGATGAAATATGTACTGTAATAAAAACCGCCAATGTCACTGTAAATATACAGTGCTCTACACGACAACTCACCATTTTAACGACCTGGAGCCATAATCTTCTTTAGGCAATCGGATACTATACAATTTCCATCCATTCTTTTTCGGGTTTGTTCAGTTAACGGCACAACAACTATTCATTTTATGTTGGTACTTGACTGAAAAGAATAAGAAATGCCCTACGTTCTGCCCCTGGTCGCGCGCGCGCGCGCGCATATCCGCGATGACGCTGCACAGAGTCACGTTCATATTTCACATACTTAACCTAAGTCAAAGGCAAAAACTCGCATATATATATATATACATACTGTATATAGACAGAGAGGTGGATATAGAAAAGTGGTTGATGAAAACAGACACAGACAGTACGGTTTTACCTGTTGTAAAATTCCAGATTTATTGTTAATATTTGATTCTGTGCAATAAAGTAGAACCATAAAACACAGTGTGCCAATGTGTTGCCTTTTTGTTGTGTTGTCCTTTCACAGTATATGTCAACCATAAGGACAAAATTATGAAGATTTGTTATTTGTTTTTAGAACAAGTTTTCAATAGGTGAGGCCCGCCTCCCCTGGGTGGCGCCAAAGAGTCACAGGCCTGCATGAAGTTGCCTGCATGTAGTGAAATAATTTGCTGTTGCAAATAATCATTTAGGAATGCCATTTTTAAAAAGTTGTGAAAATTAAACATTTTCTAATACAAGGGGGCTCTGCTTTTCTTACCTACCAACATTCTACCGTCTGGAAATTTGTGTCAACAGCTCAATTCCCTCATTGAGGATAAACGTCTCATGGTTTGGAGCATACCTGTAGGCCACAGATGCAACCTCATTCTTGTCAATGTCCTCCTCCACAAATGGGTTGGGGTTAAGGAACTTAAAGTTTTCCTGCCCCGGAAAAAAGGAGTATATGATTTAAATGCGCAAGCCACCTCAGAGCTCCTCACCTTATTTCTAAGGGAGCACACTGCCACCCTGTGGAGAAAGCTAATTTGGGCTACTTGTATGCAGGATCTTGTTCTTTTGGTCATGACCCATGACTTAAATTATTAATTATTATTTATTCAAGTTACAAATACTGTTCATTGCTGTATAATATATAACAAAACTTTATCAGGTTAATAACCTTTGCTGCCTGGACGTTCTCAAATATTTTTAACCTGAGGGCCATACAAAATGCACTTGGCCTTGAGTTTGATACACGTTATATACACAGTATAAATAATTAAACGGCTTAAACACAACATAAACTTAAATATTTTATTTTATTTGAATAAATGTAATTTAATAGAAATACACTTCTTTGTCTTCTTTCACTGAATTACCAGGTTGTGATGGTTGTTTTGTCTACAGTATCAGGAGCGGGGCGCTAACGTTAGCGAAGGCTAACAAAGTCAAAGTGAAAGTGTTTACGACGACACTACTTCACGGCCTGACATCATTTACAAAAAAAAATACTGTAATAATAAAATTTTTAATGACCTGTAGCCATAATCTTCTTTAGCAATCGGATACTATACAATTTCCATCCATTCTTTTTCGGGTTTGTTCAGTTAACGGCACAACAAATCCGTTGTGTTGCTACTTGACTCCCCCTGAAAAGAATAAAAAGTGCGCCACTTTCCGCCCCTGGCCGCGCGCGCGTATCCGCGATGACGTTGCACAGAATCGCGTTCATATCTCAGATACTAAACCAGAGTCCAAAGTCGTATCCTCACTGCTGGATTATTGACAGACGGGTTAACATGGAGCAAATCAGCGACCACCTTTGCAGATACAAAAACTACAATTTCGCCACTGGTCTGACAACAGCAGAGTATCTGGACTCACTGCAGGAATTCGAAATTCGTGAAAGTGACGTTTTCCTCATCACATATCCCAAGTCTGGTCAGTGAAACAGCTTAACGCTCGCCTTTTTTCAGTTCTTTTCTGAGTTTTCTGGTTCCACAACTACACTCTTGTAATGTTTATGTTGAACAAATAGGCACCATTTGGACTCAGCAGGTCATAATTAACATCTATGAATTGAGTGGAGGTCTGAATGAGTATTCAAATAATTTGGAGCAAATGCCATGGCTGGAGTACAACGAGGGTCGTACAGACTATACTCTGAGACCTTCTCCACGGCTCTTTGCCTCTCATCTCACCCCTGCACTGTTGCCACGGGGGCTGAAGGACAAGAAGGCAAAGGTAAGTGTTCATGATAAGCAATATTGGGTCAGAGAAAAAGCGCAAACACAAACAAAGAGAAATGATTAACAAACTGCATTACTTTACTTTATGTTGGCGAGTGGTAAAGTTGCGTCATTGACACTGCGATGTAAATAACACCAATTAATATGATATATGAAATAATGTAAGCGATGTAAATAACACCAATTAATATGAAAATAATGTATAGTCTTTAAAGTGACCAAACGGTATTGCAGAACTAAGTGATAACATTGTGAAGGATTAAAACGTTCCAAAAGCTCAATTTGCTTTACCAAAACATGTTTCAATGACTACTGACACAAAATATGCATGCTTAATCAATATGAATGACTTGCATTAATGTAACTCAAAAGTTCAATAGCTGTGTGCTACATCCAACAGTTTGTATGTGTCTGTAGACAAACAAGGACAAGTTATTTGTGGTAAATAAATCTCAGTTTCCAGGACAATTAAATTGAATTGGATAATTTACCACGGCACACTGGATCAACATAAAACAGGTGCCATGGTTACCTTCCCACTAAACCACTTCAATCGACATATCTACTTTCATTACCATACCAACCACACTGGTTGTAATGGAGATCATAATGTTTCTCCAGCAATAATCCTCTGGCGAAACCTAACTGGGATTAAATGCCCAGTTAACCCAAACGCACTCCTGAGTTCTCACTGTCTTTGTATCAGATGATCTATGTGATGAGGAATCCAAAGGACAATGCTGTCTCCTATTATCACTTCAGCAAGGTCTACACTGACCTGCAGACTCCCAGGAGCTTTGAGAGCTTTTTTGAAGACTACATGAGTGGCAACGGTGAGACAACTTTTACCTCTGGTTGATTTACAAAAGATGATTTGATGTTTAAGTAGGCTGATGTCCAATGATAACACGTTCATTTACTAACCACCACTAATAACTAGTTGCTTACCTGGACTGCACGGTTCACATCACAGACATACTCCTCAAGACCTGTGGTTATCCCACAAAAACAGGCCCGCGTAGAGGGAGGACACAGGAGGGTGAACGTCGTCATTCCATACATTGCAGGGGTTTTCACAAAAAACTTGGAGGAAGATCTTTAACCAACACCGTATGGTGTTCTTATTTAGAGAGGAGTCATGTGAGCACTTCATGAGGGAGTTAAATGTGCATCGGCCACAAATAAATCAGCACATTCACGCCCTAGAAGAGGTTGCAGTTCAGCTTGACAGAATGAGCACAGGGGCAAAGATCTCTAGTGTTGCAGGCAGTTCAGTCGGGGCAGTTGGAGGTGTGCTCTCCATAGTTGGCTTGGCACTGATTCCTTTTACTGCAGGACTGTCATTAGGTTTGACAATGACCGGGGTTGGTTTAGGAGTCACCAGCGGGGTTAATAGTATTGTCACCACTGCCACGGAGATTGGAGTGAATACAACTCAACTAAACAAAATCAGAGAAATCTTCCAGAACCTAATGGAAGATGTGCAGTGTATTGAGGATTGTCTGCATAAAGTAACCAGCCAAGTATTCTCTACTTTCCAAGAAAATATGGTTGAAGTTGCTATTGGTGTGACCAACGTTCTGGGG